GGTATGCTAGGTTTTACCACTGTCAGCTGGTAGATGTTGGTTTTAAAATAAAATAATGAATAATTCTTAATTATTTACTTTAATGAACTATTAGACAAAACAGGTACATAGTATTATAAAGGTATCATATGATAGTAATAAGTACAAACTAATACCAACTTATTTAAATTATTTTGAAAAACACATAACGTATATCTCTGAATATCTCAATCTCTATCATATCTATCTAACTGAATCAGTAGTTCTCTATTTGGAATTTAACAACGAAATACAAACATAATGCTTACATAAGCTAGTCATATTTCGTTTTTCAACATTTACCGTGCCATTAATGTAAATCCTAAGATTTACCAACGGAATGGTGATAAGAGTTCGAATCGCAAACCTTTTGGGACATTTACCATTAGGAATTGGTAGATCTTAGGTTTTACTGGAATATCTTAAGATTTACTGCAGTTCGAGCTTTTACAGTAACATATACATAAATACACCCATTCATGCAGTCATAATGATGCTTGTCACAAGGCCAACCTGCGTAATGCAAAATATTATTTAGACAAACGCAACGATTTAAGGGAAAATGGGCAAACTGAATTTGCATTAAATTTATATTTTCGTCGTAAGTCCTCTTGATTATTTCAAAAATAGAATAATAGCTCGCATCAAATGTAGCATACATGTAAAACTAAATCTAGCTGACACTAAAATAGGTCTATGCGAATGTTTAACATTTTCACAGCACAATGCGCCGCTGACAGCCCATTGTGAAATTGAACGTACTCTTTGTGGCGATATTGGAAGCCTTTTGACACGTTTGACAATAAAACGCAATTGATTGTTACGTCACAAAGTTAATACCATGTAAAAGTAACAAAGCTGATGTGATTTTTTTTAACAAAATTAGTCAATCACGAAGCCTGATTGAAGACAGCAATTTTCCGTTCATGATATCTTTGACAAGGGTATTAAAATAATTAGCATTTGATATGTACCACAAGGAACGGTTCGGTGGCCGTCGATGCACAATTCATACTAAAATAATAAGTCCTGAGTACATACCTCGTTATAATGTCTCCTCACCAGAAAGAAAGGCACACAATATTGTCAGCCGTAAGGATTTTGAGAAATTCTATTAGTTTGGGAACAAAGAGAGGTTAGACTGATGCTGATTGATACCTTTCCTCACAATAGTTCTCAAAAAACGCACTAAACACTCACTATAAAATTCTAAATAGAGGACGTAACTGTTGACAAATATTATTAACAAAAAGTATATATAAAAATGCATCTAACGTAACCCATGTAAATCTCAACAATGACTAAAGAAAAAATGTGAGGATCGACCGAGTAAAAATATTTGGGATCACCCTCATTATATTATGAATTAAAATTATGTATTTCGAACATATGTATTTTTCAAATAAATTTAAATGAAAATTTAATTGAATTAATAATACGTAAAAATTACATAATACTAAGAAATGTGCAGTACTTTGTCATTATTCAGGTCACATATACCTCGTCCCGAGCACCTTTCATACATTTAAATGAGGGTTATTAGGAAAAAATTGTTCTTAAAAATATATTAATTATAAACTTTGGCAGTATTTCATACTAATCATTTTTTAACTGAATCAATGTTCAACAAACGTATCTTTGTTTTTGTTCAAAAACATCAACAAAACTAGAAAAATAAACAAACCAGTGGCGCTACCATCTAGGTCTGGGCCTTCATTTTTTTAAATTAACAACTAAATGATCAATCAGCCTTCTGGGCCTACACCGTCGACTTTTTTAGTTCTAAAGCCTACCGTTTTCTTACGAGGTTTTCCTTCACCGTACGAGCGAGTGTTGAATGCGCACAGCCTGGGATCGAACCTACGACCTCAGGGATGAGAATCACACACTTAAACAACTAGGCCTTCACTGCTCTTCTCTCAAAATTTTTACTAATAAATTTGTGGTGGGTTGATATCTATTAAATATAAACTCAACTCTCTATTTTTCTCTCAAATATTAATGGATATCAAAAGGTTTTATGGTAATTTTATAAAAATCACTTAGTTGTAAGATAGTTAAATTTAATTGTAAATGAATAAATTACACACTAACAGAAGTTCATATGAAATACACCGAATAATAAATAGAATAGAGAGGTTTCTAATTTATAAATATTGTATAAACAATTACTAATTAAAATGTTTATGACGAATGAAGAAAAGCAATCGTGAATTGTAATGTGTTTGAAGCATGAGAAAAGCCTTTCTGAATGAAACCTTCTTTTATGCGATACTGAAGGAATACTTTAATAGAGTATTGTAAACTGACAGTGGCAAATCAAACACATTTTATTCTGTAACAATTCTGTGAACCTCAATAGAATATTGCCATGCAATTTCAATGTCTACAGTACAACATAGCCAGGTAATATATGACCTGCTTTACATAAATTGTTATTCTCATTGCTCTCGGGAGAAGCCTTAGAGCGTCTCATACGTTTTCACTAAATTAATATCGAATTACACTGATATTGATTTGTGTACGTAACCTACTAACGGCTTTATGTCTGGTGATTCTGCAACCTTTGAACCTTAACGTAGGGTTGTCAACTCGTATTTAGTAATTCTATGAGAGAAAGGTTTTAAATAAATTATAAACTTATTGTATGGCGTAACACATTTTTTGTACATTGCTGTTGTTGTTAATAGTTTCAATTTAAGTATAAGACGTTTTTTAATCAAAGTTTTTGTAATAGATCCCACACTCTCTGCTCGGCCAAGTTACGAAAAAGTGGAAGATTATAGGTGCTTACGATACAAAAATATCCCTGAATGTATGGGTGTTGAAAAGATAGACAGGAACGGCAACTTCTCATCTGACAAAATAAAAAATGATTCTAGCTATTTTATAGTTCTATTTGCAGTGTTGTCAAGAACTCAAAGAGAAAGAAGGATTTATTCATCGTGCTCTTGTCGTAACTGCAATAATAATATTTCTCATCCTCCATGAAACTAACTTAAAAAGGAGACTTTCAAGCAAAATAAATGTGTTATCATAATGACACCCCTAGCTGAGGTTTTATTGAGGACTAAATCATGTAAGGCTGTAATCTGGATTACAGCTTCAACTACACCTACTTTTTTAAAACCCCGTACCCAGACAATTATCCACCTATCTTGATTTACTACACTTTAAATCAATTATTATGTTGCTGTAAATAAATCCTTCTAAACTTAATTCAACAGAATAAAAAGGATTGACAAAACTTAAAAAAATTAAAACAAATATATTTGTATGATGACAAATGTAAATAACAAATGAGTAGGTGTGCATGTAAACCATAAATACTGTGTCATTATAAAACAATCGATACAAATTCTATAATATATTAAAGAATAAGAAAATAGATTCATAGAACCTTAATTTTGAATTACGAAAACCTTTGTGATTTGCCCCTAATTTCAGTTTCACCGTTGTCAAACTTTGGAAAGGGTTTAACAAAAACAGCTTATATATTTAACGAAGTAACCCGATCCCTTTTCATAATGGCGCAGGTATATGGGTTGGGAGGCTCTTCGGCAATAAAGGTCGCTGACCTCAAGGTCGTGATCGATCGAACCCTCCATTATGTCAGCTGATTTAAATGAAATGGAGTGGAACTAATGAAAAATGTCTATCGTCCCATTTGCTTTTTAATTAGACTGCAGCACTTTTAATTAGAGAATACTGATGGTATAATTTGCCTGTTTTCAATTTATTATTTTATCCAGACGGAGCTCCTTCCTTTCAGAATAACTATTTAAAAGAAGTGAAATACGTTTCAAAGAGCCCAAATTTTATTTTTATACCTGAAATATGCAATATTATAAAATATATTTACATCTTGAAATAATAAAAGAAACTTAATCTAATCGAAAAAAGTCTCTAAATATCGATTTTTATTTATGAACAACAATTGTAAAGCATTTGTAATTAGAACGAATAAGCACATTATTATTATTTTCTCAGTACGTGCCAAAAGAGGAGCGTGATATGTGGCACTGCAATTTCTTTTATAAATACTTCGTTGCATTTAGAGTAGTTTAATGGTTGAGAAATTTAAAACAAATTATGATTATGTTTGACTTTAATAGGATAAATAAACGTAATAACATGTTGCTTGTCTACTCATTTGAATAGAAATGCTGTTGACTACACAATCAAATCCTAAATGTAACAGAACTGAAATGATTTAACAGTTACCTTGACCAGTCTGATTCTAACTAGCAGATTTGGGCGCAAAATTGTAAAATGGTGCATACCGGAAGTAACTATTGCAGACAAATCATTGCCGACTGTATCCTATTTGGACGTCTGCCAGGCGGAAAGGCGCAGTGTCCTGGTTACTCGTCAGAATGAAATAATAAATAATACAACTTTATACACCATAATTTAAGTTACTAATAGTAAACAATAAATGTATTTTAATTAGTTATTTTAATAAATTAATCGGTAATAATATATATCCACTGGCGCGCACACTCACAAACAGCTGTAGATTGCATTTGTTTATTTTATAATTTTTATAAATTAGACATGTTAATCACGCCTTCTATGCTATAATATTTCGTAATTTTATGGGTTTAAGACATGTCAGTCCACTCACAATGCTTGCCTTCACCGTATCAAGTGTTAATTGTGCAAATAAATCCTTTGATTGCGAGATTTAAAGCCTTCGCTTTGAACTATAATATGCACTCTTACACTGTTAATATCCTAATATATGTGTTATTTTTATACCATCGAATATCACATATGTTTAATCACATATGTTTGATCACATATAAAGAATAAGTTTGGAAGTACGCATTTTTTATAAAGAATGTATTATTCTAATTCCTATAAAATGTTAATAAACATTTATAGTAACAGATATAATTAAGTATATTTTGCTTAATTATAATGATCATAATTATTATTATCACGATTATGAGGATACTATAGTCCATACAGATTTATGTTTAAACGCGATATTGGTCCAGTACTGCATCCATAAGTGGGTTACCACCGAGGCGACGGATCTGTAATAAAGGAATATTTTAGTATTGGAGAACAATAGGGTGTACTTTATATAACACGATGGCTCTATATAAAACCAATTACAGTTCTACCACGGAAACGTCTATAATGTGGGACGAGATAAAGATCAGTGCTGGGACGTGTCAGACTGGAACCATAATTGTTGTCTTTTCTTGTCTACAAATTAACGATTTTTTAAGTTACAACAACTTTTTAGGTTATTTTATTATTTGTTGCCACAATAATACTCCATCACTAAACTACATCAATATTATAATAATCAAAATTAAACTAAGCAAGGCGTGCTGCCCTGCGATTCTGTAACTCACTTTTCGAACTCACAGAAGACTCGTGTGAGTTCGAAAAGTGAGTTACAGAATCGCAGGGCTGGTGTGGTTACAGCTTCTTTTATGTGGTTATAGGTTATAGAAAAACTTATAGTTTTAACATCACAGAAGAAAATAGATAAGATGTACGAATAATTTCCTGATAATTCTCTCCTGAATTAGTTTCACAAAATCCTTTTTTTACGATTATCAATATATTTAATTGTTCAAATAAACTAAAAAATTATAAGTAAAAAAGATATCGTATGATATTGCAGGATCTAACATTGCCCTTAATATGTTAAGTATTTTCATTAAAAATTATATATAAATGTATAAACTATATAGTTTAAAACTTTCTAATCTAAAATACATTTACTAATCCGTGGTTTTAAAATAATTTAATTACAATTGAAAATTCCGATATTATTACAAAGCTTGTTACCCATTGTTATCAATAATAATAGATATTAAATATAACAAAGTAATAAATACAGACACATAAATACTGTTTTAAGAAATAACAATTTTATATAAACTTACTTCGCTTCGCAAATGGGCTTCCAAGTCTCGAATAATCTTTCTTGTGTACTCCAAACTGCCGAGACCCTCCAAAAGAGACACGCAGTAACGTTTTAAGTCTAAATTTGTTGTTCTCTGTTTAAGTATACCTTTAGTCTTAGTTAAGAAATATTACTTGAATATTAGGAATTAGATATCACACATAGAGATACAGCTTAATAGCACCATAGCATAATTGCTATGGTGGTGCATGGTGCATTTCAATAAATTATTAACTAAGCCTGCATAACTTTAAACTATTCCACTAATAATTTTTATTAACTGGCAATACCTGGCTTACCAGCAGTGGCAATGGCACTGTACTTCACTAACAGGTGTGCTAGAATCGTTAATCCACATTGCTACTAAAAAGGGACAGAAATTATCTGTGACGAAAAAATGTTTGGGCGGCTAAATTATCGCCCTCAACATTTGAGGTGAATGATATTTGACATTCAGGCGACTAGAGCTAACCTAAATTCATGTTAAATCCCTTAAGACTGAACTTGGTTTTTTAAATATTTATACAAGATATCTCTTTAATAAGTAATTCGTGTCCATAACTTAAGAGCATGGCAAGCAAAAGCAAGTCAGGGCCAAACAAAAGACGAAACTTTTAATTAATTAGGATTAAAGTAAGTTTTCAAGTTTAAAATTCTATCTGTAGTAACTTCTTCGATCTTCGTAGTTAATTTTAAAAGGATACTCGAAACAGCCTCTCCTTTACCGGTTCTTATTGCGTGTATTATAGGTATTGTGAACTTTCCTTCTGTCAAATCCATATAATAATCTAGCAACACCTAAAAATATATTCCTTATTTAGTAACATAATATATTGTCAAAGCCTTTTTTGTTTGTCATTTGTCTTCGAGATTATTTCTAATTACTTTTCCGTGACAATCTTTTGTGGTCATAAAATGATAGCCAGTTTGAATAAAGAGTATTTTAGAGAAGAACATGAAAGAAATCTTGCGGTGAGAATATTTCTCCGTCTTTTTTCAAAAAACTTCGTAAGTTTACTTTTTACTCTAACATACAACGTGCTATTAAAGTACACGTTATTTTACCTTATCAAAAGGGCGTTCCTCTAACTTCTGAAAAAGAAAAAAATAAAAGTCAATAAAAAAATTCTATCTATCTAACGACAGTCAATTTTGAAAGTGTGGTGGTCTTGGAAGCGTCTTCAGTTGAACAAACGCAATTTAAAATTCATAGGGGAGCCTCCTGTTCGTTTGCCCTTTCTAAAAAAAACCAAAGCCTAGACAGCCTAATGTAGGAGTTTTTTTAAGGATTAACTTTAGACTAAATTGGAGTTGAGAGGTCCGGCGCTAATATAATAATTAGTTATCAGTGACATTTAAACCAAAAATCGTTAAGATTTATTTGGACTAAAGTGAAAAACCAGACCAACGTGTTCCGCTGTAATAAAATTAAACTTTTTATCCCCAGATTTAGAACCCGACTTATTCTAATAAATAGCAATTGCATGTAACAATTTAAACAAGTTAGACAAATTAAAGGCACGATTTCAAGTCAAGTCAAGTCAAAAATCATTTAATCATATAGGTAACACAATGTACACTAGACTATTTAAACGTCAAAAAAGAAATGTATATGAAATTCTTCTAACTTTACATTTAGTGCCAAATCTCAAATCAAGGGCGTAGAACGGAAGTGAAGAACTGGCCACTCTTTTTAAGATTAACACAAAAAAAAATATATCTATGCCATATTTTTCGTCTATCGAGGAACCCGCTCTTTTTCACAATAATACCAGTATTTTTTATTCATTACCATTTTCAGCTTAAATTAGGAATTATTTTTCACTTTTTAGTTTGATGTGCTTTAAAAGCGTGTTTTTTAGTTTTTTTTAACTATATTTATTAATTTTTCATTTTTTAGTTAATTTTTTTTTATTTTTTTCATTTTTTTTTCGGATTATTGCATTGTCATCGATCTTTGACAGGTGCGCAAAGTTTGAATTAAATCTGTCCGTTAAAAGTGGGTCAAAATCGACATACATACAGGTGAAGCTAATATAAAGCGTGTAAAATCTACCAAATTGTATGTGAAAGGCAAAGAAGCCTGGTCACCTACTAGCCTATATATAATATGAACTGATACAGAAACCCTAGCCTAGTTTTTATATTCAAAAAGTTTCATTAAAAGCGTTTGAACTTGCGAGTACTAGGTTTTAAATAACATTGAACGGACAAAAACGTGACTTTACATTATTATTTATCAGATATAGTCTCCGACCAAGCGACACGTTGGTATGAAAATAATTAAATTTGCGTTTATGTCCATTAAATAAATTTTAGCTAAATTTGATTTAGAAAATTAATTGAATTAATTAATTTGAAATAGAAAAAAGGTACCTATTTAATACATTGAAAGTTTTTTTATAACGCAATATCTAGTTAAGTAAAGTTTATTCAAATATCAAAAAAAAAAAATTCTACATAATTAAAGAAATTGAGGTTTTTTAATTTAAAATGTTGACTATGCTAACTTCAGGGTGTCGGCTTTTTGTGGCAGTGTGCACGCGCATCGTAAAAAGTATAACTTCAAAAATTACAATTAACATACCTTAGGTTGTCCAATATTGTAGTAGTCATCAATTAATTGAAAGTAGTATCCGAATTTCTTCCCTAAATCCGTATAATCATTATTATCCTCACTGAAGCTCTGCATCAGCCACGGCTATGTTCAGCATTCCTCCCGTTTCTGCAATAATGGTACTCGTACTGTTAAAGATTTCACTATTTCGTACAACTGAATTTAGCAAATATGTCCATAGTATATTAATATGCACAAAAATATAATAACATTGATCGGTATCTATCTATTGTCGCGAAACTTTGCTAGGAGCAATATAGGAGGAATTCATAGAATAAAAAAAGGTAAAAGCAAGCAATAATGCAAGTATTTTATAAAAGAAAAATAACAACCCAAAAATATTACGCATAATAATTAATAAATTGGCCCATACTTTGTTCTGTCATCCTCCTATACTCAGCTTCTGTGGGGCAGACAAACATGTCTCTCCAATATATTTCTTTACCTTGACCCCGCACTATATCGAGTGCTTCTTCATTAAACACTTTCAGTGCCTGGTAATAAAAATCGAGTTAGTGAAACGCGAAATGCTATTTTCAACTACGGGCATATTTGAAAAGGGACCGCTCTCCTTTTTGCTTACGATTGTATACCTACTGTTTAGATGTTCAGAAGTATTACAACACTTCAGCCTTGCGATAACGAGGGAGCTTGTAGTTTATTGTTTATCAGAATGCCAAATCGTAAAATGACTGCTTCACGACTGATTTGAGCGCGACCGCCGCTGCAAAAACCCCTGTGAGAGTTCGAAAGAGAGTTACAGAATCGCAAGGCAGTGCCGGGACCTGTTCATCTTTTGTATACCATAATTGTTGTCATGTCTTGTCTACAAACTGATCTAAACATTCATACATGAATACTTAAACCAATCCCGACTTTAACCAAAGTGAGCCGTAAATTTTATCTTTCAATCTACTTTTTAATTACAAAACTAAACAAAAAAAAAAAAAAAGATGGTATGCGGACATGAGAACCAACAAACGCGTTTTAAATTTACAAAAGTGGTTTTTGAATTTTAATTAAATACTTTAAATTTTTCATAGAAAAGTCACGTTATTCAAAAACGTAAAAGATTACAGCAAATCGGTAGTAATCTGAAATAAAAATACCTCTAGACCAAATTTAGAGCACCTTTCCATAGCCAGGACAATGATATGAATGGCAGAATTGGAAGCCATGGGAACTCCATACACGCAGTGGGCAGCGGGAATTCCACGCCTAACATCTATGGCATCTTGTATGTCGTCTAAACTGAAAGATGGAAATATACTTTTAAGTGAAAAATTGACGAAGTTTTAGATAAGTTCTTCAAGCAGCCGTTGTAAACATTTTCTACAAACGTTTGTTAACATGTTTTATTATCTTATTGAATGCTGTATTTATCTGCTTCGTTAATCAAAGTAAGGACGCATTTTTGTGACATCATTCACATTACAGACCTTTAAGTAGTAAATAAGTATCTTTCAAATTAATACCCGTTTTTTTCTTGAAAAAGATCGCATGAAAATGTTCTTATACATATGTAAAGGACTATGGCAGGCTATGGCCTCAAAGAAAGGACATATTCTTAGCTAAAGTGCTATAGCTTAGAGCAAAATAGATACAGAATTCTATATTAAGTCTAGCTTAAATAAAAAAAACGGTGCGTGTACTTATGTACGCGTGTAAGAAGTTTTACTTCTTTGGCATTATTAAAAATAGTTTTTGATTGCATGCAAATAAATAATTACAATTAAATAATCAAAGACTGGAAAAGGAGTCATTATAGTCAATAAAGTTCAGTTTATATTTGAAAAATTAAATAAATAAATATTTATTACTATTCTCTTACATTAAATGTAACATAAATTCTATTATTATTCGAATATTGTTTTTAAATTATGTTCAATGCCGTAGCATCTTCCGTGGGCAACTTCATTCTGTTAATTTTGTGTCACGGTGCGCGCGCATCGTAAAATTTTTTTCACTCTCATACATTTTTCATAACGCGCCTAAAGAAGTATAACTTCAAAAATATATATAAATTTACATTTATTCATGTATCCTTAAAAAGTCAACTTACATAAGTGTACCATTATGGCACATTGTCATAATATCAATAATCTCTTTCATCTTCTCATTAGGAATCTTTAGCCAATGGTTAAAGGCCTCAGCTATTCGGTTCCTTATTCCTTTGCTCTTCACTTGAATTATATGGGAGTAGGGGAGGAGGATTTCCTGAAACAACATTAGATTAGATTACAAAATTACTATTTTATTTATAAAATACCAAACTGAATTTTGAACGTAACTCAAATTACTGGAAGCGAAAAAAAGGTTTTAATCTACCTTTGCTATAAATTACCTCCTGAAAGCAAAAATTTTAAATTTCTTTGTACAACAGTTACAAGAAACTACAAATTTCCAAGCATCATTTCACTAAAGAAAACAATTTTTTGCCGGATTGAAGTTATATCATTCCACTATCATGTCTAGTTCGAAAAACACGATGAATCTAAATTATTTTTTATTTAAAACCGAATTTCCTTAATAAACAGTTGTTTTTTATCATAATCTACAGTTATTAAAAAATTCACTATTTGCTAGATCATACAAAACTGGCATATAATTAAGAATCAATTAGGAAAATTGATATTGCTAATTTACTAATCTGTGACATTTATCAATACTATATTATTTTTTTATTACAGTTGCAATAACATTTGAAATTAATTATTTTATTTTTCTTTATAGACTTTAAGTAATATTAATATATTACTATGCCCATTCTAAAATCGTCAGAGAACTGATCACTTATTTTAAATGGAACAGCACACTTCTATAGACCATTTTATTATTAACGATATAACTTTTATATTAAAATGGCTTCAATATTGGTCAGATTCGTATGATAAGTTATACATATAAGAAATTGTGTGTTCTATAAATATGATATCCGTTTGTGTGAACCAGGAACTACTTTCAGCTAATATTACGGAAAGCTTAGTCGTCTTTGCCAATAATCCAATTAATTTTCGTGTCGTAGTCACACCGGCTCTCAAAATCAAAACTATTTTTAACATTTCAATAAAATAACTACTGATTCACAGTGCAAACAAATGCTTAAATTAAAAATAAAAAAAAGTTACATACCTCTTCCAAATCAGGAATGTTTTCTTCTCCGGACATTGTTAAAATATTATTATTACCCACTTTGACAGAATAACTAACTTAACTATGTTAAGAGTAGAAGACTTTTTTGCTTATTTAAAATTTGAAAAATGTTGTTAACCAAGTAACCGTGTTCCCACAACCCAGCCTAAATGGTAACAGAGTGTTCAAACGCGGCATATAACTGATTAGCTTCTTTTTAATTAATAACTTTACAATGATTATACTCGTGGTAACGCCAATACATCTTACATTACAAATGACCATTAAGTGCGACATTTCTTTAAAAACAATCATGTTTTAGACTATGAAACCTGCCATTTACGTTTTGAAGGAAAATTTATCAATAAATATTATCGAAAAGTATAAAAAGGCTTTTAAGGTATTTTACACATTGTTGAGTATTACAAAGTAATACAAATTTCTATAGAATACATAATGTTTTTGGATCGTTTTTACAACAGCTTATTTGGACTAATTTACATATGTAATTTACTTAATTCGCGCGACAAAGACTTAAAAGCTAAGTGATTTTTGATACTGCAATATACTTAGTTTTAGATAAAAAAGAGGAGTAAAGAAAGACTTATGACTAATTATTATATATTAACGACGTTCAGTTTCGCGGTCACTTGGAGGGAAAGGCTAAATTAGCCTCCAAAAAGCTTGGTATGCTCAGCAAGGCGAGACGGTACGGACGGACGGTTCACTCCGGGCCACCGCATGCAACTATATAAAGCGCAAATTCGGCCCCACATGGAGTACTGCTCTCACCTCCGGGCGGGGGCTCCCCAGTACCAGCTCCTTCCACTTGACCGTATTCAAAGCAGAGCGGTTCGAATCATCGACGACCAATCCCTCTCCGAGCGGCTTGATCCTTTGGCGTTGCGTAGAGATGTGGGGTCACTCTGCATCATCTACCGCATTTACCATGGAGAGTGTTCAGAGGAGTTGTTCGGATTAATACCTGCAGCTGAGTTTCGTCATCGGACGTTGAGGCAGAGTACGAAATTCCACCCGTATCACCCCGACGTCTGCCGTTCCACAACTGAGCGTTTTTCAGGGCAGTTTTTGCCGTGCACCACCACTTTGTGGAACCAGCTGCCCACTGAAGTATTTCCGAACCAATTCGACTTAGGGTCCTTCAAGAAAAGAGCGTACCAATTCTTGTAAGGCCGGCAACGCACTCGCGAGCCCTCTGGCATTGAGAGTGTCCATGGGCGGCGGTATCACTTAACATCAGATGAGCCTCCTGCCCGTTTGCCCCTTGTTCTATAAAAAAAAAATTATGGCTCCCATATAACAAAAATCTCAAATGATTTTGACGAGAGTCATAGCTATCTATGTCTCGACTCTTACCGTTATAGCAGTGGCGGAACCGTAGAAGAAAATCAAGGAACAGCTATCTATAGACAAATCTTTCCAGGCATTTGTTAGGAAGCAAACAGAAATACCATTTCTAGGAATATACGAGTACATAGTAAAATATAGCTTTAATATAATGATATTAAAGTCTATTTTTATTTTATTAAGTTTGCTGGATGTGTAATTTTAATTGATATACACAACAACCGATAATTTAGTCACGTGTATAACTGTTATTAATAGTCACGACAGTACATTTCGAGTTATGTTGTGAAACTATAATTAAAGGCACAGGGAAACAATACACAGGAAAATGTTAATAATACCTAACTACTATCGATAATCACACCAGGATGTAGGATTAATATTACTTTATTCCTTATTTCCTATTTTTACAGTAACTTAATACTAATACAATAGAAAACTAACTTAAAACATAATATAACCATAACAAGTAAAAACTTAAAAAACCTAAACAATTTTATAACTAATTATAAATAATGAAATTCTTGTGAATTCAGCCAGTGTGCAACTAAATATATCCGTCTCAAAGAAAGGTAGGGTGGCAAAAACGCGAAAGGGCTTTTAAGTAAATTTGCGAGGACTGCCAGCAATTGCGACCCTTACCCGCCGAGTGTGGTTATTTGGACAGAGCCCCAGTCTTTCCAATATTTCGATATATATTTTACCTCTAAGGATCTTAAAAAATATAGGGATAGTAAGGTCCCTCCTTACCTCTAACTTGTTGTATCCAACCATGCCCAAGACAAACAAATTGGATACATTATTGGGTAAAAGGGTACACTCCATACAACCTCATGTATATGTATCTCATAAATTTATTGTGGTCACCATTAGAGAATATTTTTTTTCTTGTGGGGCCCAAATATAAATTATATTCAAGTGCTCCTAACAAGTGCATTATACAATGCCATTACGTTTTATATTTGAAAATCCTTTGGCCATACGCAAAATAAACCCTAAATTCCTATAAGTTTTTTACAAATTATTTTTATGTTATCCCAAAATTTAATTCATAAATGAACCAGGTCTTTTATTTGGTACTTTGGAATTGGTGTTTCTCAATGTTATAATTATAAAGAATGGGTGGCTTGGAAAAAGAAATAACAGCACATTTTGAGAATAAGTGAGTGATTTTCCTGACCAATTTACTACCCGATCAATATAATCTAACAATCTTCCTATATAAGGCCGTGATAATTTAAATATGGAACATTAAACATTTGCTCTTCTATACCCTGGTAGATATTTACATTAACAAAAATTTAAAGTCCTAAATCCTAGCAGACCAAGTGTAATAGTTCCTAGATTTAATGCCATATATTCACATACTGCTCCCTATCTGTCATGTGACTTGCCATAAACGAATAATACGAGTGAAGCCAACTTTTGCTAATTTCATCAAAGCACGTCGTATGACCGTTAAATGCTTTGTATATAAATAGGTGATCAACTTTCCTCATATCAATTATAGATAATAAAAGTGGGTAGTGCTGAAAAGGAGAGAGTAGATTATGATAGAAACTTTGAAGGTGACTCCATACCTTGTGGTGTGACAAAATGACGGTTATGATGGTTACTGTACTTTGTTACCTTTAGGTACCGGAACCACTTTGCTAATTTTCAACGATTGGAAGTGAGCTTTAAGGTAAGATGAAATATGGAGAAGGGGTTCGAATAGGAAGTTTAAAGAAAGAGGTATACATGGGGACTTGGAAAGAAGGATTGTACTTTAATATATTAGGAACCAATTCCCCTTCCACAATCCGCCTCGCATTTTAACGTCAAGCTTGGGCTTTTGCGTAACATACACTGAACTGAAATAATAGCGAATTCCTCTACCCTCTTATCCATAGTTAACTCTTTTCCGTTACTAACAATACCCCTAGGCTGTCTTTCAGCCCTTTGGCTCTTTACAAATTTCCAAAATGACCTAGGATTTTCTATGACGTTCGTTTCAATAACTTTTGATACCTATAAAGCCTTAGCAATCCCTACCTTTACCTCAGCCCTACACAAGCTAAAGCTTGGTAGTCACCTTGCAACTTAGTTCTCTTATAACGCTTATGAGTAGTTCATTTTATTTTACGAATAATTTCATATTATACCATTCGGATAGCGTGTTTTGAGTGAACATATCCTTTAGGGTTTCTTTTGGACACAATGTCAAAGATAGTATTTAAAATATTATAAAAGCTATCTAGACTCGCATCTAAGTCCGAAGAAAATATACTAGACCAGTCTGCTGCTCCTATCCTCGAATACAACATATGTAATGGTTTGAAATTTCCATTTAATGGTCTACCTACCTTATTACCGCCTTCGTATATTTCACCAGGGAGCCGCCGATCGGGGCCATACACACACTTGAGGGTGGATGTTGTTTATACTGACACCAGAGGCTGATCAGATACACACACATTTACGCTGCTAACCCCCCAACCTTGCATAAAACCAGATCCAAAATTCTTTCATTAATATTTTCTACTGAATTGACTGACTGAATTCACAATAATGTAAAAAATAATCCTCAAAATAATTTTTAACCAAATTAGAACAAGACTATAAATTGAAATCCCCTAACACTAATACACTACTATATTTGTGGCAATAATCTTCTATTATTTTAAATAATAACAAATATTCATGATCATTACTATTAGGAGGAATATATAGGACACACACAAAAAAATAAAAACTATTTTAAAAAAACAGTCGAAAAAAGTTAAATGCCGACACTGATATATACATGGTAGGAATATCACTCGTATCTCTAAAGGGAGTGGTATAAAAGGCTCCACCCTGCTTGGGCGTCGGCGATACATGTAGTATAGTAAAGCCTATTGGAACCAACTCAGCATCAGCTATTACTCATTAACTGTTTTGTGACAGCAATATTGTTGCTGTCAACACACTGGTTGAAGTTAACTAATTAGTGAAGCCCCTTACGTTTTGATAGAATATATAATTGGTTTACTTACCCTTCTTTACTTTTGTTCGATCTCCGAAACCACACCCAATCAAAAATTCTATATTTACTGGCAATTTTCAGGTTACAGAGTACCTTATATTACTTTTGGTACACAATAATAAAAGAAGATAGTCCCTCTCTGTTTTATGATTTATCTTTTCTAGCTAACTGTCACATTTTTGTTATATATTTTTTCACATAGTTTCAAAATTAGAGTTTAGGATATTAAAAATCTTGTGGTCCCTTCAATCTGTATAGCGTTTCTGCAATCACCTTTTATTTAGATTGGGATGTATGCCATTAACTGCCTTGGTTTCAACATATTACACTTTTTTCGCAATTTCTCCTTTACTTGTTTTAATGTGGAGGTTAATTTTAAGAGTGCCTCACATTTTATGGAGATGGTAATTGGCTATTATGTTTTAGGAATCCACAAAGATGAAGGTGTGTGTATTAAAGGTGGTATTTATTATTTTAAGTAATGATTGTTTTTTTTTGACTACCCTCATTATTTCCCGTAATTCTTTCAATTCCAATTAGATTAATGAATCTATGTAGTATTATAGTCTTTTTTCTGCTCTTCAAAGGGTTCAGATGTTTTAAAATCTTATTTTTAAGAAGTAACTGAAATAATTCTAACAAGAAATATGAGAAGTTGGGA